GAAAAGCAAATTTGCAGAAAGCTTTGAGAGAGATCCGATTACTTCAGATTATTCTAAGAACATTTAAAGATGAAATCAGAAGCAGGTTAACAAATAGATAGAGAATGGAACAATATTCCAGCATTTCTGTAACAAACTATCTTGTTCATCAGAACAGTGCAACTGCCACATGTGGATTCATACACCTCAGCTCCTGAGGAGGAAGCAGGAATGCTATGAAAGATGATGAAGGTGTGAAGAGCATCTGGACCAGATCATTTGTACTGGTAGTCTAAGACGGAGGTGACACAATTTTGAAAGTGGTGAGGGATTGTGTCTTAAGATACTGAAGACAAGAAGGTGCCAACTGATAGGTAAAAGCTAACGATTATTATTACAGAAAAAAAAGTCAACTGAAAGGACATCAATAACTACCAGTACTTATTTTCTCATCTCTGTAAAATCTCATGAAAATGATCACAGAATATGTATCAAATGAGCTCTTGATAAAAATAGGAGAAATGAATGGGAAAGTTGTTTGAAAATAATACCATATAGTAGACCACATTGTTAGAGTCCTACAATAGACTGCAAGGAACAAAACAAAGAGAGAGAGACCGTTCTGTTTCTTGTTTGCTGTTGTTTGTCCTCAAAGAGGACCAATGACATTGCAAGGTGATATTTTGACTTGTGTGTGAACTGGATTTAAGTGAGGCAGAGCTGTGCAAAGTCATCAGCCTTGCTTTCTCCTCCAGAGTCATAGAAGTCCATTGGCAAGACAAAAGTCAAGACTGTTGATTGATTGCAAAAACAAACAAGCACACAAACAAAAACCAAACATTTGATTAAGTAAAGCAAAAGCCAACCTGCAACAAGATGCTTTCCATGCATATGCTGAGATCATTAAGGTTCCTTAATGGTTTCAATCACAATAACTTTTTTTATTTTTTACATTCTTTTGATCTTCAATATTAAGTGAGGCATATAACAAGGAATTGTGTGCTTGCCAAAAATGTGTGCCACTGTCATGAAGAATGTCTAGTAAAGAGTCTAAATGGAATAGAGCTTTAATATAGGTGATGAGATCTTCTAGATATTCCTGTTTGCAGCTGCCGTGCTGATTTCATTAAACTCCAGGGTACTACTCAGCAGACTAAATGAGATCCACAATCACTCAGAGAGGTCAACTTAATAATCTACATTGAAAAAACAAGTGGCCAAAGAATGTCTTTTATCTAGACTATAATTAATAAGCAGTTAATTAAACTACCTACTGAAAAGGTACATCAGCATGTAGCTCTTAAATTGGCACTATAGAAGAATAATGATGTAGGCCCAAGATTGACTAGGAGGAAGACAGTTGGCTAAACTATGTTTGGGAAATTGTGTTGTTTTTTCAATGATTTCAGGTTGTTCCCTGAAGGAAAAAATCCATCTTTTTAAGACCAATGTTCTACTAGTAGTGTTATATGACTACAAATCATCTCTCAGGAAACAAAATTGTCAGCAACTCAAGGAGCAATGAAAATATGCATTGTGGGTCTAAATTGGCTGAAGAATATTAACAACAAAGTATGAAAACAGTAATGTATAGAGTAACACCTAGGAAATGTATGATCAGAAAAGATGGTGGGCCAATCACTTAGTGAGAACACAGGGTAACTGATGAATGACTCCCAAACTGCCCTGGTACCTATGTAATGTTGAAAGACCCAGAGGAAAGTCTTTAGAACCTTGAGTGGACCACCCCACCCCACCCCACCACCACCATAAGTGTACATGTATAGGAGTTTCATAGGATGAGAAGGAAGGCATGGATGAGTTTTGGTTTATCGAATTTGTATCTACGAGATCATAATCCATTGAGATATTAAAGAAATATGAAATATGCCAACTAACCACATAATTCTTCTCCATAGCCTCCTCTACTAGATTTCTTCATTTTGAACAAAGTATCTCCCTTCTCTTGCCATATCCTAGCTGTGATTCCTAACATGTGATATCTCAGTGGTATCAGTGAAGTCATGTTTACTTCCTTGTGTTAAAGTTTCCTATTCTCTTTATTGCTTATACTCTGCCTGTATACGTGCATACACAAACATACACAAACACATACGTGTAGTCCCTTCCCCCAAGATCATTTATCTATGTATATGTGCATTTATGTTTATTTTATATGTGCACAGGTCCTTGCTTGGGGAAAGGTGAAAGAACATGAACAATATCTATGTCCCAATTTATGAGAGTTAGAAAGAGTTCACAGACAAGATAGAAGAAGTAATTCACAAATGGAGTCAGGAAGAAAAGAAATGTAAAGAGTCAAAGCGGCAACAACACTAATGTCAAGATGTTGGCAAGTAGAAGAATGAAGCACAAAGAACAAAGGTAAGAATAAAAAATTCTGAACTCTAGGAGCTATAATTCCTATGGTTCATATATTCTTTCTTCCCATGCATGGAAGTAGATGTATTAGGGGTTTTTTTTTTAAATCATAGGGGAATAATATATACATACATGGATGTGTATATGTTTATATACATATAACTCCATGCATATAACATATAGATATTATTATTCCATAAATATTTTTTTGACCTTTCCTTTATTTCTTTTGCCCTATAAGTTGCCTCTGGAAGGAAGAAACATATAGCAGAAACCCTGTAAGTCACTTACAATAATTCCTTATTTTCTAGACCTTTTAAATAGCAAATGGAACTCCAGTATTTTGTGACTCTATCTAAGAATTTCCCCTGATATCTGTCTTGGCACAATGCCTAACATACCTGTTTTCTATTTAACATGAAAAGAACAAAAGTATTATAGGCTTCATACAATAGCAGTCTTTAAATACATGCCCCAAGGTGCTGTGTGAGTCCTGAAAACCAATGTTCAACTTACTAGAACTTTTCACAACAGAATGCTTTTAAAAATACAATTACAATATACTAAATAATTTTCAGTAGAAGTAATTTAGTTGTTTTCCAAAGATAATGATGAGTTTTCTAGAACCCTTCAAATGCTTCCACTTCATCTCTCTTGTGACCAAAGAACTATGCACAATTTGTGGGACAGGTAGGCCATATGGTTTTTTGTGTGGCCTGAGAATACCACAAAAATTTTCATTTGTAGGAAACAAATTGAGCATTAAGAGGAAGGGTATCCTTGACTTTGGTTTCATTAGTACCATGCTCCCAGGTAATAATTCTTGCTTACTTTCATCTTGATCCTGTGTAAGACATTGGACATACTAGATTACCAAGCCCCTAATTTCAGTGAGCTTCTATTTTGATAGACAGTATCGTAGAATATTCTTTCCCCCTCTCTTGCAGGTTATTAGTAGTTTTTTTCCCCTCAGCATATTTATTGAATCAAAGAATTATGCTTTCTATTTGGCAGCCCTTTAATTTTCATTCTTATGAATGCTGAATCTAACTTTTTCCATAAATTCCAGGGAAGAGAAGAGAAATAATTGGAATATTTAGGGACAACCAGAGGGCCAAAAAGAAACATGAGCCCTGGACTTTTAAAAAGACTCAGCCCTGCAGCTTATTAGCTGTGTATCTTGGGCAAAATACCTTCCACCTTCCTGAACCTCAGTTTCTCCTTTTGTAAAACCAGGAGGTTGGACTCCAAGGCCCTTGCAGTTTTGATATTCTATGATTCCATGTCTAGTTAAAGAGAGAATGTTTCCCTCCATAAACTCTGTAAACAGTTTAAACGATTGAATGATAGGGGACCTGCTGAGTTCTCTGACTACCACTCAACCCAGCCAACCGTAGGTCTGCCTCCTCTGCGCTGGCCTTCCTCCAGCTTTCACCTTTCCCAAGTCAGTTCCTTCGGGTGATTTACTTCAGCCCTTCCTTAAAACTTTCTATTAGCTTCACTAGGGCTCATTCTTTGGGCGGGGCAGGATAAGGGGTCTGGTTCACTCCAAGAAGGTCATCAGCCCCTCCTGGAGGTCTGTTCAGATACGGCTAAACTATAATGGGTCTGGGCTCCACACTGGCAAGTTGGAGGGAGGAAAAAATGATTTCCAACATTGAGGTGAAAAGCAGTCCAGCGCAAGAAGACTGTGCCAATTTTATTTGGAGGAGGATTGTGTGTGGCTTCCATAGAGGCGGCAGGGAGAAAGCCAACACAAGAATAATTATTGCCATTGCCCGCAGCTGCTAGTTTCCCAATCTATGGATGCTTTCCGCCAGCTCTCCTGTCTGGTATCACCCCCTCCCCAACAAACACACCGCATCCCATCGCTTCTATGTGATAATTGTAAAAATAAACCGGTCTTGACCGTGCCCGCCGTGTCTGCAACTGGAACTGCTTCCTCTGCACGCACTCTGCTGTGTTCAGTGAATTTTAGCTATATCAACTTAAGTGAATTTGGGATTTCGTCAAGTCCCTGTTTCTGAAACGAGTGGTTTCCCTGACGCTGCGTGGTTTTCCTGATGCTCTGCTGTTTCCCAAGGATTCCCAAAGGCACTTGGTCGAGGTAGTGAGTAAGGATAGTCTCCACACAGGAAGGAGTAATGCAACCTGAGAAAACAGTGCTATAAATAAAAGATCACTGGGAACTGACTCTCAGGGAAGGTCCCATGATCCCTTCTCTTTCGGCAGGACAGGCTCTGCGGTCTGACCCTGGATGCTACAGCACAGGCCAAGAGAACAGTTCAAAGCCATTTAACTCACCTTGAAACCCTTCCCCGGACTGCCCCGGGACCCAAAGGCACTTGGAGCTGGCAGTCCAGAAGCTCGAGTTTACTTTGATTTCTCCAGCTGACTATTCAGGAGTTGGGTTTTGTTGGCCCGGGCCAATAAGAAAGCCCGGTGGTGGGCTCGGCTTCTCCAGCCGCTTGGTGATTGGCCCCGAGCAACAGAGAGGCTGGAAAGCTGGCCAGCTGAAGGTTCCATCGCTGGAAGTAGGGGGCGAAGTGGGAGTGACAGCGCGTGCCCCTTGCAGCCCCCCACCCTCTCCTCCCGCGCACCCCCCTCCACGAGCTCCGCTCCCCTCCTCTTCACTCCCCCTCCCCTCCTTTCCCCTCCCGGCCTCCGGCCGCGCGCTGGCTGGGCTCCGCATTGCACACTCTGGGGGAACCGCAGTGTGCATTCGTGGGATGGGGCAGCGGGTTGCTGGAGGCTGGAACCGATGCGTGGCTCTGGTGAGTAAAGGCGTCTTTCCCTAGGGAGCGCAAAAGCAGAAAGGGTCCGTTCAAATTGTCCGGGTTAATCTGGGACCTCGACTAAGTAAAGGGAGTGTTCGGATCCCTTCGGTCATTCCAAGCTGCCCTATTTACTGAGATACCTCTGAGAGACAAGCGGGGCTGTGTGTGTGGGGGGGGTGTAGTGGAAGTGGGGGGTCTCACCTCTTCTATCCAGGGCTGGGACGCAACGCCCAGTAGAGACCGCGCTGCCAGGGCAAGTAGAAAGGAGTGTGTGTGTGTGTGTGTGTGTGTGTGTGTGTGTGTGTGTGTGTGTGTGTGTTTAAGAGAGAGAGTGAGACAGAGACAGACAGAGAGAATGATAGAATGTATTTGTGGAGGAGGTAGAATGTATTTGTGGGGAGGAGGTTGAGTGTGTCAGGAGCCGCCAAGTTCAAGGCTCAAGGCCGGAGAGATTTTTCCCTCCACGGCAATTTAGAGCTTTCCCATATTGAGTGTGTGCCCACTCGGAACTCCAGCTAGAGAGTTTTCCTCGAGACAGTCTCTGAATCCGTCCACATGTTGCTGCAGAGGTGTCCTAGTGTGGCAATGTCAAGAAGCAGTGCACACCAAAGCCTCTTGCTTTCGCTGGAGAATGGGGAAAAAGCCCCAAAACAAACCTTGGATGCCCTTCATCCCCAGGACCGTCGTACAATGACCACGCCTCAACAGGAGGCTTGTAGCTGTGAGCCAGGATCCCATTTAATTAAAAAAAAAAAACACCACCTGATAGTTAGTCTTGGTTTGACATGGACACTTCTTTTCTCTCTCTCTTTTACCAGTTCATGTTTGGGTCTAGTTTAAACCAACCGTGGCTTAACTCTGACTACCTGCTTGCCCGCCTGGCTCTGTCTTCTATTGTGGGTTAGAAACTTGCAAAACGTGGTTGCTGATTGTCCCCCGAAGCATAATCGGAGTCCTTTGCACATAATCAGAGTCCCGAACAATGGCTTCTTCCCTTTAAAGTCTTCTAAGTGGATCGGGCTCCCCAGAGCAGACACTATTGTATATAGCTTGGTCCCGTGCATCTGTCTTCTCAGAATCATAGGCATTTCCTGGATAGTTCAAAAGTGTTATGGTTTCAGTGGCAGACGTTCCGTAGAGACGATGGCTAGAATAGCATTAACCTGCCAGGGCAAATGACATAAAGAATGTTAAGCTTTCTCGCTCTGGTAACCTGGCCAAGGTGTGACCTCCAAAATTCAATTTTCTTTGTGGGAGGTTGGGGGAGCTTAGGTACTCTGGGGAAACTCTTTTTTTCTTGTTAAATTGGCTCTCAGTGACATATACTCTGTTCTGTTGTGGTCTGGCCAGCCATTGCAGATGCTGTTATATTATTAGAGTGAGTCCCTGAGAGCCCTATTACATTTTCTTCAGCGGGGACCTAGAGGTGTTTTTTTTTCCCAATTGGATCTGCACTTCATTTCTCAAATACTGCAGACATTAATGGTTACTGTATCTGTGCACACGTGTGTTAAGTTTGCTAAAGATATTTGTGCAATCGTCCATGAAATGACTTAATGCACATTTATGTTAAACCCATTTAAATGTAAAATGCCTATCCCTTTTCAATTTTCATTTCCACACAGTCAAAAGGCACTTGGTTACAACAGGACTTAAGAGCTTTCACTGTTAAAACAGAGGTTTCTCACAACTTCAAGTCAGTCATAGTAATTCAGAAACCTATGTGAACACTGGCTTAGTATAGCTATGTGCATGCTATGCTGATGGTTATGCTAGTATTAGTTGTTTTCTTTATTTTAAAACACTAGAATCTTCCATGGCAAGAAGATAGACATACTTTCCATTGGAGGCAATTTGTGAATCTATTTTTCTCCAAATAGTGAAGGTTTTAAATCTGTTGCTTTATACACCATAAGGGCCAACTGTGGACAAAATTACCTAGTAGGTGAGTGCATCTTTGGCACTCTCCTCCTCCTCTCCTCTTTTGAAAAGTCTCCTCCTTCTTATTCTCTCTCTCCAGCCCAGAGTAAGAGACAGCTCTTAGTTATCAGCTAATTTACATTGAGGCAGCAGCTTGGAACGTTTTAAAGAGTGACCTGGGCTTATAAGCCATGTTAATAAGGCGCTCTTGAAGACTAAAGATTGATAGGTCAATATTGGAACTTTAGCAAAAAGTTGAGGGAGATAATTCAAGGCAGAGAGGCTTGAATTTTGGTAAGAGTCCAACTAATGATATTTTCCTCATTCCTCAATTCATTTTTATGGGCTAATTCTTAGCTCATAAATACATTGGCCCCACCTGCTCAATAAGGACAACAAATTAACAAATAAATATTGAAACATTCTGTGAACAGAATACCGAACTTATCAAAAGCCATAAAACCTTCAGTAATTCATAGAAAAAGGTAAGAGAACAAATTAATCAGATGTGTTCAGGGAAAATTATATTTGTATAACACAGCTCACAAATGTGGTTTGTGGATATCTTTGCTAAATGTAAAAAGACACACATCACTTGCAAATCTACTCTTGAAAAATTACCTTTTACTGGATGTGTAAGTGTGGATATCACACACGTCTATAGATATATTATATAGGTATATATAGTTATGTGTGCATGTATAGATACATATACACATGTGGACAGAATTGGCTTTGGTTGCATGGGACTGAGCATGTGTCATATATAGTGTGAATACACCTTAGATACTTACTAGCAGTGCAACCCTGGGCCTCTCTGAGCTTGGTTTCCTTATCTGTAAACCTGTAATGATGATAATAATAATAGCTAACATTCACTCATATAGTGCTTCCTATGTGCTAGGTAGGCACTGTGCTTTTAAATTATTATCTCATTTGATCCTCACAACAACCCGGGAGGTAGGTGCTATTATTATCTCCATTTTACAGATGAGTAAACTGAGGCAAGCATAAGTTGTAACTTGCTCTGGGTCACACAGCTAGTAAATGTCTGAGGTTAGATTTGAATCTGGATCTTCTGACTCCAGGCAGCCCATCATTCCATCCACTGTATCACCTAGCTGCCTAGTGTTATTGTGAGCTTCAAATTAGATAATACATAGGAGAACTTTGTCAGACTTGAAGTGATGTACAAACGAAGGCTAAGAGTAGTAAGAATGATAATAACAGGAAACTTTAATAGTCCATAGGGAATTCCCAAGGTTAGAGCTAGAAGGGACCTTAGATACCATGTAGCTCAACCTTGTAACAGCTAGGTGGCACAGTAGATAAAGCACTGGACTTGGAATCAGGAAGACTAATCTCGAGTTCAAACCTGGCCTCAGGCACTTACTAGCTGTGTGACCCTGGGCAAGTCACTTAGCCCTGTTTGCCTCAGTTTCCCCATCTGTAAAATGAGGTGGAGAAGGAGATGACAAAGCACTCTAGCATCTTTGCCAAGAAAACCCTAAATGGGGTCATGGAGATTTGGACATGACTGAACAACAACTGAATAGTTCAATACTATACCAAGGGAAAAGCTAAGGTCTGTAAAGATCAAATAATTTGCACAATATTATACAGGTAGTAGTAGATTAAAGGACATGAATGTGGGTTCTCTGACTTCAAAATTTAGTGCTTCTGCCAAGATGCTCCAGATTGGCATAATACCTCATCAGGATGATTACTTCCTCTATTAGCTTTTGCAAGTTCAAGGAAAAGGATCATTTTGTTTTGAGTATCGGTGACATAAACAATGGTAAAAGAAGCAACTGTTAAAGAATGTAAGAAAAAATCACTGTCCAACTAAGTAGAGAATTCTGATTTGTGAGAGAACCAAAGAACTCCATGAAGTATTCTCTAGCAGAAGGAACTACATGAAAGAATGTTAAGGAAAAGATGGGAATGATTTTAAAAAGAACTTACAAGAAAGCCAGAGTTTATATGATATCACCTTGTCAGAAGCCTATCTTTATTTTTTTTAAGGCAATTGGGATTAAGTGACTTGCCCAGGGTCGCACAGCTAGTAAGTATCAAGTGTTTGGTCTGAGGCAGGATTTGAACTCAAGTCCTCCTGTCTTCAGGGCTGGCGCTCTATCCAGTGTGCCACCTAGCTGCCCCCAGATGTCTATCTTTAACAAAAAGACTAGACAGCAGAAAACAAAGAAACCTCATACCCAAATCCTCATGTGAAAATATCAACCCTATGTTTAACTGAAGAAATGTAGCCAGATATAAGGCAACGGCAGTCTATGATGATGAAAAACAGAAACAAAATACTCATAACAGAAGTACAAGTACAGAATTCGGAGCAAGGGAGGTCATGGTCTTACTTTCCTCTCCATTGGTAGGGTCACTTTCAGAGTGTGGAGTTCAGTGCTCAGAGCTATATTTGTGAGGTATATTACCAAGCTAAGGCATCTTCTTCCAGGACGGTGCTGACACTTGAAACCATATTAAATGATGATCCTTAAACAGTACTGGATGTTTAGCTTCTACAAGGGAAAATGGTGGAGGAGTGAGGAAGATGGCTATCTTCGATATTTTCAGACTTGTTAGGTGAAAGGAGGGATTAGACTTTTGAGTACTCCTAGTAGACAGCCTAGGATCAGTGGGTGGAAGTTAGAAGTAGAAGAGGTTTCTATTCAATATAAGGAAAATCATCCTAACAAATAGATGTTCTTGAAAACTGAATGGTTATCTTGGAAGATAGTAAATTCCAGGCATTGATGGTGCTCCAGTAACAGTTGTGGGGAATGTTGGAGAGAAGATTCATGCCTCTACTAGGAGGCTGAACTAGATTATTAGGTATCTCTCATTTGCAGGCATGCTATCGTTACTCATTGACCTATATTCTATGTCCTCTTTGTGACCTTGTATCTCAGGAATGCTTTCTTCTCTTGTAGAAACCACCAGAAATTTACTCTTAAGCCATACTATTCATCACGACTTCTAATACAGTTACTAATGTAATAAGGAAGCTCTAGGTCACGGGGGTGGAGAACCTGTAGCCTCGAGGCCGAGTGGGGCCTTTTAGG